AAAATCAAAAGACTAGCTATCGCACATTTTAAAAATATCAAACACAACAGCTTTTGAAAACAAAGCCAGAATTAGCTAGATAATGACCCAGACCCCCTCACTTCTTTGCAAAGATGATTTTCACTACGTAGCCTTCATTGCTCAGCCCTTTGAGAATAGGAGTTGGGGACATCATGTTGAGGTTGTACAGGACATTGGTGAGACCTCTTCTGGAGCACTGTGTCCAGTTCTGGTTGCCCTGTTATAGCACGGATGTTATTAAACTGGAGAGGGTTCAGAAGAGATTTACCAGGATGTTTCCGGGAATGGAGGGTGTGAGTTGTAGAGAAAAGCTGGGTCTTTTCACCCTGGAATGTAGGAGGTTGAGAGATAACCTTATAGAGATTTATAAAATAATGAGCGGTATAGATAGGGTTAATGGTCAGTGTCTTTTCCCTAGGATGGGGGATTTCAAGACTAGGGGGAACATTTTTAAGGTGAGAGAGATTTAAATAAGACATGAGGGGCAAATTTTTACTTTGCATAGAGTGGTTCGTGTGTGGAATGAACTTCCAGAGGAAGTGGTAGATGTGGGCACAGTTACAATGTTTGAAAGACATTTGGATGGATACATAAGTAGGAAAGGTTTGGAGGGACATGGGCCAGGAGCAGGCAAGTGGGACTGGTTTAGTTTGGGATCATGGACTGGTTGGGCAGAAGGGTCTGTTTCTGTGCTGTATGACTATTTGACTCCCTTCCCAGTTTCTCTCCATTCATAACACCCATCTTTTTCCCGTGTTTGTGTGTGTGTACGTATGCGAGAGAGAGAGAGAGAAAGAGAGAGAATTGTGGAGTTTGTAAGGTGGTGGGTGGTTTTAACAGTTACATCCTGATAGTTCACAATTTTTCAGCCGTGACTCGGAGTCTGTTTAGTTGTAACAAAGTGATTTTTTTTGTTAATAAGTACAGAAAATTGATCAAGCTGGACCTGAAACATCGGAAATTCTGCATTATTTTAAAAACCCTTTTTTGTCCTTTTCTCTAGGGTGGAGGAAGGACAGATTAACTCAACAGAAAAGTTGACAACACAAAACAGAAGGAGATAACTAAGGGGGCTGGTAAAAGAGACAAATGGTGCGGTCTGGAAGACGTGAGAGTGACACCCAGAGAAATTAACAGCATCATGACATCCGGGTGCACATCTGATTTGCACAGCATGGAAACAGACCCTTCGGCCCAACCAGTCCATGCCGAACGCAATCCCAAACTAAACTTGTCCCACCTGCCTGCTCCTGGCCCACCCTAGAGAAGACACCTGTCATTCACCCTATCCACCTCTCTCATGATTTTATAAACATCTATAAGGTCACCCCACAATCTCCTACACACCATTGTTATAAGTCCCAGCTTTTCTTTATAACTGAAACCCTCCATTCCTGGCAAACCTCTTCTGAACCCTCTCCAGTTTAATAATATCCTTCCTATAACTGGGCGACCAGAGTTGGACACAGTGCTCCAGAAGAGGCCTCACCAACGTCCTGTACAACCTCAACATGTCCCCAACTCCTACACTCAAAGGTCTGAGCAATGAAGGCAAGCGTGCCAAACGCCTTCTTAACCCCCCTGTCTACCTGTGACGCAAACTTCAAACAATTATGTACCCGAGCCCCTAGGGGTCTCTGTTCTACAGCACTACCCTGCCATTAATTGTATAAGTCCTGCCCTTGTTTGTTTTCCAAAATGCAACACCTCGCATTTATCCAAATTAAACTCCATCCGCCACTCCTCAGATCATTGACCCAAATGATCAAGATCCCTTTGTAATCTTTGATAACCTTCTTCACCGTCCACTGTACCTCCAATCTTGGTGTCATCCACAAACGCCTGGCCTGGGATTGTTAGAATTTGGGTATATTGACCATCCAAAGACTGCAGGGCGAACCTGACTCTGGTTTAAGGTTTTGGCAAAGATCTGTATATCCTATACACCAGACAGTATAAATTCCAAGCGAAGTAGAATAACATCGCTTCATCGGAGGCCTCACTGACGATGTTACCTAGCATGGTGACGAAACATCTGAACGAGAACAAGCCAGCTCGGCGAGCAAGTCAATATTTAACTTAAGTTTCCACTTAACTCTGAGGAAGGGAGAGAGGGTAACAACGCAAACGTGCAACTCTCCTGCTGCCCCACTCCCTCCAGAAAATGCTCTGCCTTTCTCTCTCTCTCTCACCCTGTCCTCGGTCCTTGGCGACCCAAAATCACGGTGCGTGGCACTGGGGCTCCCTTTGTCACTCTGTGCGGAACCTGTGGGGAAGGTGGTGGGGTCGCTGCCGACTGCCAAACCCAACCCCTAGGGGAGCCCCCTGTGGCCGTAACAGGAGATGAGGCCTGCGCCGCCCGATGGGACAAAGCCAGAACGCGGGGAGGCGCGAGCGAGCGGAATCACAGAGGTCGGGTTCGAGAGGAGTCGGCAAGGAGAAGAGGGAAAGATTTGGGGGATGGTATTCCAGAACTCGGTAACCCTCTCCCAATCCCCAACCTCAACAGGACGGTGAAGGGGCAGACATCATGAGGGCCACAGCCAAATGTCTGAATGAAGAGCTGGGGAGTTGGGAGAAATTGCGGGAGTTAGGGGAGGGCGAGCGAGGGAGAGACGTGAACAGGAGGGTGACAGGGTGGGGGTCAACCCTGAGCACTGAACACTGAAGGAGGCGTCCAGCAGGTATGGAGACAGAGTCAAACACTCACCGTGTAACAATCAGACGACATTATGTTGACGTAAGGTTTATCATCCAGACCAAGCAATCTTTATTACTGTTTAAAAAAAAAATTACACTTAGGACAGGGACAGCACGGGGTTAGATACAAGGTAAAGCTCCCTCTACACTGTCCCCCCCCACCATCAAATATTCCCAGGTCAGGGACAGCACGGGGTTAGATACAGAGTAAAGCTCCCTCTACACTGTCCCCCCCATCAAACACTCCCAGGGACAGGGACAGCACGGGGTTAGATACAGAGTAAAGCTCCCTCTACACTGTCCCGCCCCATCAAACACTCCCAGGGACAGGGACAGCACGGGGTTAGATACAGAGTAAAGCTCCCTCTACACCGTCCCCCCCATCAAACACTCCCAGGACAGGGACAGCACGGGGTTAGA